CAAGTGATACTGAAGTAGAAACTGACTACTTTAACTTCTGTGCACACACAGTGTTTATATTCATGAAGTCCTGCTTTGTCTTTGTAATGGGATCGCACAGATAGGGGGTCTGCGGAGCAGTGGACCCATTGTTTAGCTGCCGCCTGGAAAATCACATGACTACACACACACACACCTGGTTTCGTGAGACCTTTGTTTGGGGCGGACCTAGCCCAAAGTGCATAAATGTAATGTAAAAACATGACTCGGGATTTAGAAGTCGGTTTTCCTGCAGGAGCTCTGGCTCTCTGAATCCAGCGCTGTGAGACTTTCTTGTAATCAAACTTTCAGTAAACTTTCTGTTGATTTTAAACAGTCCTCTCCTGTCGTCACTTCTCGTGCTTCCAACAAAAGAATTGGGTTAATTTCTAACAAAGAGGTTAGAATCTAACACCAGCTCTGACTCTCCAGCATTTTTCGGTTTTGGTATTTTGTGTTTTGACCCGGATTGTTTCCTCTGACTATTCTGTTCTGCCTTGTCCACTTGTTTCGGATTGCTACTGTGTATGATTTATCAGACTTTCCCTTTGGACAACGAACTTTGGATTCCCCTGGATGTATGTGTTTGCTGGCTCTGACCATGGACTGTATCCTCAAGCTGTAAGTTTGTTTCGTGTGTTCACCGTGTCTTGTCTCAGTTTTGTTAAGCGTTTGTGCTCTTATTAATGAGACGGTTAGTTACGTATCCTCGTCTGGCCATTTAATTGAGTTCACAAAAAACTTTTTCGGCAGCAGCACGCACCGATTCCTGACAGTACAATCTGGCCAAATTGAACTCAGCCAGTGAGGACATCAGAGCCAGCTGATCACTAGCCTTGCCATACACACCCACCATTACACACATAACCATGGACCCCGCGAACACACCCAACGATGTAGCAGAGCTGGGGCAGAAAATTGGCAAGCTCTGCCACCAGCTATACAACCTCCTGCTTATGGAGACCTACCTGAGCCCAGCAGAAGCCCAGGGCATTTACCAACAGCTAAAGGCCCAGATGGCTTCTTCGCTCTCCCACCCAGCACAGAGCCCCTCTCCCTTCGAGGGAACCCGGTGGGCTATCTGCCCTGGGGGTCCAGGAAAACGGAGGACCAGGAACAGACCGTCAACTGG